GACGCAGTGCAGTTGCACTGGGGTCCTACTATTTGCCCTTGCCACTTGTCCTCGTCTCCAACATGGGCTTGCTTTAGTCACACCACTTGACCACTTGCCAACCTTCTAGAAGGACTGCAGCTGGACTTCTACTCTACAGGTCTATGGATCAAATCCTGGCTACCTAAAGACCTACGACAGACCTACTTACCACTGGCGGTCCTACAGGTCGCAGGTTCAATTCTTCAAGTTGTCACAGATATTGTTCACAGGTAAGTTGGGGAACTAGGGATGGAACCCTGGGTCCTGCATCAGCTACTTCGAACTGGTGAATACCGTTTCAGGTGGGCCGGCAACGAAAAAACGGGCGCGCGGGCGATTCGGCGCTTCCGGTACCAAACGCCGACCTTGGAGGAGGAGGGGGGCACGATTACGGGCCGACGGGCTGGATGACGGGCGGGCGGAGGGGTGGCCCACGATTCGAGGGGTGGGCGGGCCTGCAATTTGGCGCCTCCTGTAGCAACATCGCACGGCCCGAATCGCAGGCCGGTAACGCGCCACGGACGGCCCAGATCGCAGGCCGATCAGAAAACTTTCTCATCGGCCTGCGATCTGGGCCGTCCGCGGCGCGTTACCGGCCTGTGATTCAGGCCGTGAGATATGACGTTTAGCAGTTCTTATAGTAGGTGTAGAAGTCTAGTACCTTTCCCGAGTGGGGAAATGGCGGGCCGCCGATGAGATTTATCAATGGCAGTCATCGGGCCTGGCCTCCGCGTTTTTAGGAAGTTGGGAAAACTGCCAGTTGTCCCTATTTCCCAAGAGGTCCTGGATCTCTAACACACCAATGGGACTATTGCACCTTGAGAATGGGTTTAGGGTTTAGGGTTTACGGTTATATGCTCTATATGGATCCTGAGTTTTAGGGTTTAGGGTTATATGCTCCATATGGATCCTGAGCTTTAGGGTTTACGGTTATATGCTCCATATCGATCCTGGGTTTTAGGGTTTAGGGTTATACGCTCTATATGGATCCTGTTTCATGAATGGTACAACATGCTTCGATCTCCTTCTGCTGCTACTCTTGCTTCTAGCAATTTTTTAAAATGTATCTGACTGCAATTACAGCCAGAACTCGATGAGCCAGACAACAATTGCATCCACAGCAACTTAGATATCTGTATTAGTGTAAAGGATCTTGCTTTATGAATGGTACAATATGCTTCGATCTCGTTCTGTTGCTACTCTTAGGGCATACTCTCGCAAGTCTAGCACTTTTCTCAATGCATCTGGCTGCAATTACTTCCTTATTCATCCAGGGCATTTCTCACACTTCTAGCACTTTTCTAAATGTATCTGGCTGCAATTACTGCCCGACATGGATGAATCGGACCACAATCACCTCCAGAGCTCAGAGCTCGGCAGGGATAAGCACAATGTTACTCGCGCCACTGCGAGCTGACGCGATAGCACAAGAATCACTTCTGTTGTTGAGTTGTCGTACAGACCAATCGGCGATATTCGACTTTCAAGTTGGCATAAGCCAATGGGCGATACTGGACTATCATATCATGCATGTTGTCGATTCATGAGTTGTAATGCTCGCTTTGCACCTGATGTGAACATGCCCTTGATAATAATTAAAAAAAAAGGACTTTGATACAGTTGGCTTCCACTCTATACTGCTTGCTGCTCTGTCCTGAACAAACCTTCCCTGAATCCCTTCAGAAAGTTCGGACATATCTTTCGTCCAAATTTGTTAGAGCAACGGCTCAAACTTCCTTTGCCTGCTTAATGGTCACTAGATGACCTGTTGCGGCTTCGCTCGCAAAAATGAATACGACAGTTGATGCATTAATCGCGGAGGCAACCGACCAATGCAAACTCTCTCTCTCTCTCTCTCTCTCTCTCTCTCTCTCTCTCTCTCTCTCTCTCTCTCTCTCTCTCTCTC